AGAGAGAGAGAGAGAGAGAGAGAGAGAGAGAGAGAGAGAGAGAGAGAGAGAGAGAGAGAGAGAGAGAGAGAGAGAGAGGAGTGGAGCAGGACGAGGAAGGGCGAGGACAGTAGGGTGTTTGGCTGTGTTCTTTGGATCGTGCTTTAATGGGAACCACGACTGACCTGTATGAAAGTGAAGGAGAAGCGTTGTCTCCTCAAACACCAGTCCTTCACGATAATTGCCACGTGTGGGTTGCCTGAGTGAGTCATGATTGCACTATTTTCTTTGTCTAAAGGCTGAGTCTCAGCTTCAGGTCGCTGAGGAAAGGGGACCAGACTGTGAGATGTATATATGGCAGCCAATCTCTGGCACAGATGGGAAGGCATCGAAATGTGTGTTTATAATGGGCCTCGCTCCACTACTCACCAAATGTGCAGAATGAGAATGAATCTTCCGCTAGAACATGGGAAGATACAGTTTTGTCTTTTGTGCATCTGGTGAGTGGTGGAGCGAGGCCCAATGGTGGCCACAAAGTATCAAAAAGCATCAAAAGAAGAACATGGGCCTCACTCCACTACTCACCATATGCCGGTGTATCGTCCCATGTTCTAGCGGAAGATTCATTCTCTCTTTGCACATTTGGTGAGTAGTGGAGCCAGGCCGTAATTGTAAGAGACTTGGGTAAGTACGCTGTCAGAGGCAAGGATAGTCCTGCTCTATTCATTACTACCTTCTTCCCCCGAATACAACGTACGGTCATTATTGCTGTATTTAGACTGAAACATACCCCCAAATACAGCTTCAATGTTCGTACGTTGTATTTGGGGGGAAGAAGAAGGTGACATTGTCTTAGGACTTACTGTGAGACCTTTCCGTCAGCCTCTGGGGTCGTGTCATTTCCATGACTTGATGAACCGTTGAACCAAAACCGCAAAGGAAAGAGGTACTAACGGGCTTGACAATGACGATCATCCGAGACCCTGAGGTTCATAAAATGCATATCTGGCCAAAACAAAATAAAAAAAATAAAATGCATATCTGGGGTTGTTTTGGGCCTGTAAGTGTGGAGAGGGCGTCGTTTGGGAGATGCGAGTCTTGACCTACGGAGTGGGGCGGAGTCTGATCTGCTGGGTGACCAGACTCGCCTCAATTCCAAGTCTTGATTTTTATATTTCGTGACTGGATCCAAGGAGACCTGCTGCTTCAGCTTTGCTCTCATTGACATCACTGCAGGTTCGCTTCTCAGGCTAGCCCTCCAACCCTCGTTCAGACTCTCAGGTCAGTCTGATCACTACGAACCTGCATGATAACAGAGGTCCTCCTTGCTCACCTATACCCAATCCCTGCCTCAATCGTGTATCTCCTATAGTACCCTCGCACATGACCCTTCTCCTTCTTGCCCTTCCCCCATGGCCACAAGATGAAGAAGCTCATTAGAGTA